AAGGAAGAAAAGGGAGTAAAAAGGAAAGAAAGAAGGAAACTGGGGAAGAAAGAGGGAAAGAAGGAAGAAAAGGGAGGAAATAGGAAGGTAAGAAGGAAAGAAACTAGGAAAGAAGGAAAGACACAAGGAAGAAAAGGGAAGAAAAAAGCAAAGAAAGAAGGAAACTGGGGATGAAGCAAAGAAACAAGGAAGAAATGGGACGAAATACGGTAGTAAAAAAGAAGGACACTTGGAAAGAAGGAAGGAAACAAGGAAACTGGGGGTGAAGGAAGTTAGACATGAAGGAACAATGAAGGAACAAAGGAGGAAAGGAAAATAAGGAGAAACATAAGACAAATAAAAAGAAACGGCAAAAAGATGGATGACCAAATGACAAAGAAAGAAGAGTTGAGGTGAAAAGGAGGGAGGAAGGACCACTGGAAGCAAAGAAATAAAGACTTTAGGACAGAAAAAAGCACAGTAGGAAACAAGAAAAGGAAAACAGGGATGAATCAAAATAGAAAAGTAGAAACACAAAGACTGAAGAAAAGAAATAAGGATGAGGATGCAAGAAGATAAAGAAGGAAGAAGGAAAACAAATAAGAAAGGAATGATTGACATGGAAACAAAGAACGAAATAAGGAAGAAATAATGTCCCATGCAAAAACTAAATGTAAAAACGCCTTCAGATAAATGTAGGGCAGAAAACAAAGTACCACTTTTCTCTCTGAAATGTGGAAATACTCTAATAAAGAACCAAAACCTTTAAACTCATCTCATTTTTAGAAACTGAATCAGAGGAGTCTCTTCTTTCATCTGAGGATCAGTGAGTGTCCGTCTGAACTGAAGAATCACTCAGCCTCTCGGGGGCTTATAAAATGCTTTTCATTTACGGGGCAGTTTGTTGGTGAGCGAAGGGCCTCTTTCATAATTCACAGAGGTTACGGCAGCCATTTTCCGAAGCTCGACAAGCCTGGATGACGGGATTTTCCAATTTAGATTCAATAAAACAGTGATAGAGGCTTCAGCGGGCAGATTTATCCGTCGGTACACAAACTGGGAGGCTGATATCTGCTCTCATACACAATCCAGACGGGGTTGAAGGTCGACGCTGCGAGCGGTTATTGCTGAAAGTAAATCCAAAATAATAAAAAAAATACAGTCAGCCTGCATGAGGGAGGCAAACTCCAACTCCAAACCCTCCAAAAGACTACAAGAATAGAAAAACAGGTGAAATAAATGGGAACAACCGGACGACTAAAACTGAGACCATGTGACACTGAATGCCTCATTTTTCAGCCTGTTATAGAAGCGGTCGCTGCTCACCGTGAACCTGATTTTAAATCCAACACACCTTGTTGGCTGTTGGCATCAGAGGTTCCTGCCGGCCGCCACAAAGCTGCACGTGGTGCTTTAAAACCTCCGCCCCTGTCCAATCGCTCATGCACGTCAGTAAACAGCGTGAACACAGAGGGCTGAACAGACTGGGCGTAGAGACACATGGAGAAAGACGAAACACTTTAAAGGAAAGGTCCTGTGATGTATATTTTTCTTCAGTAAACAAATCTCCAACAGTGAATGTATCTCCAAACAAGTCCTGTGTGTGCCTCACAGCTTGATGTCTCTTCTTCCTCGGAGCCATAGAAACCATTAAAACCATTAAAACCATCAGTAAACCTGACACATTGTTGGTTTGGGTCTGTTTTGGGGATTTATTGATAATAAGAAAAGCTTGCGTATATTGGTGTTGTGTGTGGTGGATTGGTGCATCTATGTTCTTACTCCGTGCTGTTCATCATCACATGGTATCCATACGATTTGCACACACATGCCCTGTTTACGGTTGTATCAAATTCATGCTGCATCCAAACACACAGTCTTACGATACCTGGCATCTGTACCTGACATGAAAAAGACTTTTATCAGGAGCATGTCGACAGGAGCGGTTACTACAGCGGTTGCTACACCTCCACACACTGACAGAAACAACACGCTCCGTTTCTACAGCCGCTCACTGAGATATGAAAACTAACTCCTGTGGTGGTTTGAGTCGACAGTCTCAAAGGAATATTTCCCACAGAATTTCACATTTGAAAGTTGAGCTAATGAATAATGTCTCAATTGACTGTTCACCTCCGTGTCGGAAAGTGAAGCCAATGCTTAAGTTTCTAAAAACCTGCATTCTCTATAACAGCCAACAGGGGGCGACTCCACGGGTTGCTAAGATAAGTGTTATTGTATAGATTTCAGTGAGAAAAGGAGGCTACTTCTCATCTGATTTATTACCTCAGCAAACACTTTCCTGATGAGTTTATGGTCTCAGTCGCTAGTTTCAAGTCTTCTTCAACACAGCATGATGTTCATTTAGTAAATTATGGTCCCATTTAGAGGAACATAGACCAGAAAGCAGGGGATGACTACCACGGTGACCTGTCAATCAGGGGCGAGTTCAATCTCAAAACGTTTTCCACCGGTTTGCAACGTTTTCTGATTGAACGACATGTTTCCTTGCAACATTGCGCAACGTTCTGCATCGGGCTTCGAAGTATGTTTTCTCCCGTTTGGTGGGCGTGTCTTACGTGTCAACCAATCAGCTGCCACAAGTTTGTAAACACAACGGTGTTAGAAAGGCAAGAAAATGTAGTGCGCTCGCGAACACAGCAGGGTGTTCAAGGCACCACCGTTTCCGTTGTCGGCGCTGAACTCGCCCCAGGATAGAGGTATTTTCACTTCATGACAGTAAACTGTAACATTTTGGTCGCCAAAAAATGTCTTGTTCAGCGCTTAGTTGCACTAAAAGACACTCTAAGGAGTCGGCTGGTAATTTTTTCCAGTAAGAATATTTTGTTGTAAGCCAGTTTTTCACTGGCCAAAATTAGCATCCCAAATAAAATCATAGTTAACGTGAATTACGGATGCACCTTGCTAACCAGGGTAGCTAGCTCTACCCTCTCAACAGATTATGGTCACTTCCGGTTCCAAAAAAACAAGATGGCAAACTCGAGGCTTCAAAATGAGAAGTGATGTCACTGTTCTTGTTTACAATCTTTTGCTCTAACATACATCTGTATAACTAGATTACTACCCACAGTGCTAACCTAACATTACTTCCAAGGCCAAATGTTAGCATATCATTAGCTAAGTACACTATTTTACTGAATTACAAGTTAGCCCAGTCCAGGACTTGAGCATCCACGGTGTTGGAGTCAGTCCTGGAATATACTACATCAGAGTTTAGGCTAACGTTAGCAACTCTGCCTTGCTGTTTACACTCCAGCAGTTCCAGCCCACGTTACCAGAAACAGTGCTACATGTCTCGAAAGGTTAAAAATGAGACGCAGTTTTTGGAAATGTGATCAATAATGCATAAATCTAACGACGTGTCTTGCTTGTCCAGGTCCAGTGTTTGCAGCTGAGCAGATAAACAGGGTTATGTTTCATTTGGGAGAATCGAATTGCTGATCTTAACGATATATGATGTAGAACTGGGGTATACTATTACAAATTCAACTGGGCCGGATTTTAAAACCAGGACACATACTGTAGATTGGCCGGACATTTTCTCAGGAGTCGGGATCATAAGGATTTTATTGCCATACTTGGTAATTCTTATTGGTTCAGTTCTTTATCGATGCTCTTACCAGTCCTATTTATTACTGAATAATTGCATGTATTATTTAAAAAAAGAAATGTTATTTCTAGAGCAGCAACATGATTTACAACAGCAAAGTCACTAATATCTCACTGGAAACAAATTTAAAATATCAGTAAAATCAACATCATCAACATACTGAGTGAAGTTTAGAAATAATGAACCACTAAGTCCCTCCTGTCCTCCCTCGGCAGCTGCTGGTAGAGAGGAGGGCTGGTCTCTCTCCACCAGCTGAGTTTATAATTTACTAAGCTAAACAGTTACTAAAGACAGACAGATAAGCTATTATCCAAACTAGCGCTGTGCCTGAGTAAAACCAAAACACAGCTGCGGTGTGTGAGAGACTGCGCACATTAAAACGTTTTCTGTGTTTATGCTTATTAAACAGGTGTGTTGGCAAAGTACTGGCTTTTTACTCGCTACGTTTTTATTGCACCAGGTACACTAACACTAACGAGCGTAGTTTTAGTCAAGACCGAAAATGTCCACTGATCAGCTGGGTGACGTGTGTGTGTGTGGAGGCGCTCTGCAGAGAGGCTGCAGGTCGGACAGATTTGTTGAGCCTCGATTGGCGGTGATCGGTACAGCGCATGTGAAACTCAACAAAGACGAGAAGGAAACGATATAGCTCACTCTTTAGCTATTTCCATACACTATACATGTAGTTTACTTTTGTTGTCATATAGCCTATATTACATTATGTGCTGGGCCACACGGAGGCTGCTTTGGGGCCGGATGTGGCCCGTGGGCCGCCAATTGAATAGGGCTGATGTAGCATGTCCATATTGCCAAAAGTTTTAACAATTAGCCTATATTTGTATGTGTGATCTAAGCAGCTTAGAATTAGCTCAAGCAGACAACACAGTTGGCTTTAAGAGGTTCTAAACATCCAGAAAATAGGCATCTAATTGAGACCTGCCTTTATTTGTAAAAGTGTGGCTGCACCGGGCCAGTAAAAGGGACAGGCGTCTAATTAGGACGAGGCTGTTAATTGAAATTTTAAGGTATAATATTATTAATCTACATCATTATTATTGGTATTAAAAAACCTCTAATTTATCTTTGTGAAGCCAGTAGAAACCCTGCATTAACACCAGCATGGGGAGAAATCCAAAGCTTGACAGACCTGCTATGTTTTCCGACTGCTAAGCTACGACAATCAGTTTGGAGGAGGGTTTTAGTGTGAGGAGGCAGTTTAAATATATTACAACATCATTCTGTGATTTAGGATGATTAGCTTTAACACAACAAGCTCGCCCAGAGCAGCTTTAATCTGCACACAGACATCTTCACCGTCATCCAGAGTGGTGAGTAAAGCCTCTCCAGCCTTCACAGCCGATATTAAGAGTTTCCTTAGGCTCAGTCTTACCGGGGCATCTGCCCAGGTGTTTGACGTCGATCTGCTCCTGCTTCATACACGACGCCTCTCGGACCAGACAGGGGTTGTTGTAGGAGTTCCCATCAGTGGCACACACCGGGTTTTCATTGTGGCCGCTGCAGTCGATGTTACATATGCACCTGAGGAGAGGAGTCATGCGTCAGGACTGTTTCTCACAGGATAATAAATGTTCGGTCTGCAGTCTGGAGCCCGAACATGTTTCTGCCACAGCAGCTCTCATCAGCACAGAATCATTAGCGGAAGCACATTTAGAGACTTCTAAATGGAGACACCGTTCATTAGTTTACCACAGACTGGGTGTCTGCTCATAAAGAGATGCATTTAATACATTTATATACCTTACGTCCTACACGTAAAACATGTTTTAACCTGTGGATTATATTTAGATTTGGGCTTGCACATCCATTTCCACTGTATTTGTCATTTGTCTGACTAACCTGTGCATATGAATAAAAATTAAAAAGTCAGCTGCCTTCTCTTCACAGTCGAAGGTTGTTAAGGTTATCTCTAGAGGAGCATGAAGTGCATTAGGGAGGTGAGCAGCATTAAACTTTGAACTGATGATGTTGATGAAGAAATTAACCGATTGAATTAAAGATAAAGTTGGATAAAAAAAAGATCTAGGTTGCAAATTCAAAATTCAGTTTCATAATAAAAACAACTTATTCGTCTTTTCAATGATACGGACCTAGTAATGCTAGATTAAAAAAACAAAAACAAGTCCTTACTTGTCAGGAGTGGGTTTGGGGGCTTGGGGTCTCAGATTTTAGGTGGATGAAGTCTTTTCAGTTTTTCAAAGGCATTTGAAAGGGACATGTTCACTTAGGGAAGGTACTTTTGGGAAACTGTTTGTCCAGTACTAAGAAAAAACTGTCCATTTTGAACACATTCATATGGAGTCAGGTCCAAATGGGAATTATTTTGTCTTTTCGGGAGTCACTTGTCTAAGCAGACTTCCCGTCTGCTGGGATCAGGAGCCTTTTCATTAAAACTACAGAGTCGTGACCTTTTCCACATCCATTTTGTATTTGTGGACAACCACTGACCTGAATGTGGTGGTCTTGGATTCATGTTAAGGCCCCCAAAATCAAGCACAATGCAACAGGTATCCAGGTGGGTTATTCTGTGGTCCTGACACTTTCTAATAGTGGCTGAAAGACCTTTTCAAGTAAAAGTCAAAACAACTGAGCCACATTTGGTTGTTGTGGCAGTATTCGAAGGCCCCAGTATTTTTTTAAACTGACACTTCTCCCCTGCCCAAATGGAAACCCCGAAGAGTTGCTTTTTGTAGAGAACCCGGATTGAGGATGGTGTCGGGTCGTCTGTCTTTACAGCTTCTGAGAAAGTTGCTCAGACTAGAGAGAATTTCTTTCTGAACTGCAGCAGCTTCTCAGTAAAGGCCTTCAAGCGGCTGAGAATCTCACTGGAGGAATGAGGACGGCCTTTATTATTAGTGACTTCATATCACGTCCTGGCAGTCGAACACTCACCAGACGTCCTCCGAGTCTTCATCACACTCGGCTCCGTATTTACACGTGCTGCACTTGGTGAACTTCTTCCCAACGTCAGAGGCCGACCCCTCATCATCTGTAACACATGACATCAACAAAGAAAAGCTAAATATTATTTGTAATTGTAGAAATGTAAAGCAGCACGAGGGCTGAACTTGGACTGAGAAAAATAAAAAGTGCTTAAATGAATTCAATGTGCTTCTTTCCAAAACACATTGTGTGCATAATTGACGCCATTAAACCCCTTATTTATCCCTTTAGAGGTTTATTAAGAGACGCATGTTGCACGCAACTAAAGAAAAAAAAGTAATATAATACCCTCAATGAAATGAACCCTGTTACTGTCCCTTACTGTGAATTTATTCTGTTGTTCTCAACATGCAGGGATGTTAGATTTACTTTCTTTCACCAAATAAACTGAAGTAAACCAACATTATGATTAATTGGGGAAGAGACATTTGAGGGAAACATTGGCACTCATAATAAACTAGAACCGAAAGGAACTTGTATTCAATTTCGCTGCATATGATTATGAGCAGATTTGAGTTTTATCCTGGGGTTCAGATGTTTCTCCAGAGACAGAACATTATTCACCTGTGACACTTCGCATCTGGCTTCTACCTCTAACGACTCTTTTTCTTTAATTTGACCTTGGTGTCTTGGCTGCACTCTTTCTGATGAACTTTTTCATCCTTGAAAAACATAATCAGCTTTTATTTGTATTATTTTTGCACTTCTTTCCAGAAGAAGAAGCGACTTGATTTCATTTTCCAAAACAACCTCCAACTCTGATCAGTTTCTGTTCCGGTGAGCGCCGTCGGTGCCGTTAACGCTGATGACACCGTTTGTACCATCAACACATGACACGGCTCGCACACTTTCCTATCAGGCACAGCTGCGTGTGTGAAGAGACTCCTGAAGCTTATCGGCCAAATGGAAACAGAGCCACACATTATCATTTTATGGTATTATTATTATCATTACAGGGGATGCGTTTAATGCCATCTCGCATGACAGCGTCCATTTGCCAGCAGAGAGCGAGTTCAGAGCAGACGAGGCGGTAACAACCCGAACATCAAATATCAAAGAGCCCGAGGGATTATTCATGGCTGCCTTTCATCAAGGGAGCTATTTTCATGATTCATCAAGTGTAATTTTGTAATGTAATAGAGGAAAAGCTCAGTACTACGGAGGAGAATGAAATTAATCCCCAGCAAAGGACAGGAAATGTAACGACCATCCTGCAAGCTGCATAAACTTCTAGCTGGAGTCATTAAAAGCCTGCGTTCAGACTTCAAATCTTAAAAGAGCTCATTAAATCAGGCAGCATGGTCCATCACTGCAAAAAGGTAAACACAATAACAACACATTACCTGGAACAACCGCAAGTGGAGGAAATATATTATATATTTTTTTAATCATTTTTAAATATTTATTAAAAATGTACTTGACAGAAAGCTAAGTATTAGCAGTAAAATAAGAAGTCAACAGTACAAATGTAGGAAACTACAGAAAACAGAGTGAGGAAAACATGAAAGAAGCTAAAAAGAAGAGAAAAACAAGAGAAAGTGGAAAAGAAAGACACCAACAGTAGTTTGACAAACAAATCTTAACTCAAGGTCCAGTTGCTTTAACTGTTTCTGGAGCTTTCAACTGCAGTACACAGTTTGTTCCTTGGGTGACTAAGAGACCATTTGACTTTTGAGTTTTCATGACAAATGACCTACCTTAATTTGTTTGTTAGAATTTATTATATAAAACTTTATTTATACAAAAAGAAAACAGCAGACATTTTAAACAACAGTTAAATTATCAAAATTCATTTTAAACAAGCAATACGGAGTACGGCACAATTAATCAAATTAAACTTAAAGATTACGTAATTCATAATTCTCACCTAATTTGAGGCCATGTCTCGTAGAGCGGCTCACTAGAATGTAGCTAGTAGTAGTTAATAGACACTGACAGGGACTTTTGTACTGCACAATGAACGCTTTTACTTTACATTTTGCTGTCAATACATACTTTTACTTACGTATTGTTTGAATGCAAGACTTTTACCTGTAGTGGAGTATTTTCCCAGTGTGGTGGGGACATAAGGACTCGATATGATACACGGGTCACAAGACTCAACAATGCACAAGAACAAGACGAGAAGATTTTTAACACTAGGCTATTTGAAGAAACATGAAATGCGGGTAAGCGGGTCCTCTCCCAGACAATTGGAGCATGAAACACTTAATTTCCTGCATTTTGGAGACATTTTCTGCACCAATTTATGGTGGAAATGTCTTTATTTATATAAAGGGAAACAAAAATTTCAGCTGGGAGGAAGCAATTTATAAAAGTATAACAGAATATAATGCAGTCTTTAGCAAAATGCACATCTGTTTCTTCAACATTTAAATTGATTTAAATTTATTTTTGTGCTGATAAACCTTTCTCAAAGCATTTTCATTTGTTAGAGAAATTCTCTTGGTCCAAGTTTTTCAGAACATTTTTAACAAATTCAACAAGTGATGAGAGACAAAATCAACCATATCACGGGGACATGTCCCCAGCGTCCCCAGTGTAAAATGGAAACCTATTAGTACTTTTACTCAAGTAAAGGATCTGAATACTTCCTCCACTGAGATATGAACTGAGAGAGGAGCAGATTTCTTCTCACTTACAGTAAAGTGAATGTGACTTTAAGAGCGACAACATGATTGAAATGACTCGAGAGGATGGATTCTGACGTGTGTGTGTGTGTGTGTGTGTGTGCCTGCTGGCTGACAGATTGGCCTGCTGTGTGTAGACGTATTGAACACGGAGAGCTCAGCCGGGGCTCGGGGGCTGCCGATCGATCGACGAGGATCTGCAGCAGAGAGGTTCTTTGTTTCTGTTGGACTCTGCTGACAGCAGGATGCAGCTGCTGCTGCTGCTGCTTCGGCAACACAGACTCTGCCCACAACCACACACACTAAAACAACATCACTGATCTGGGCTCTGTCTAAATGATATGGACCTAGTAATGTTAGATTAAAAAAACAAAAACAAGTCCTTACTTGTCAGGAGCGGGTTTGAGGGCTTGGTGTCTCAGATTTTAGGTGGATGAAGCAAAATAAAGGAAAGGAAACGTAGAACAATTTAAATTTTCACCTCATGAAGGCGCTAAAAGAAAAGTTGAGTTGAGATATTTCACTCTGGACCGACTGAACTGACCGACACGATAAGAAATTTCTTGCATGAGGCTCAAAGTCAATCTGAACAGTTTGCATCTCTCTGATTTTATCCTGAATAGAAATAACTTTCACCAGAGTAGAAAATCTTCCGCCGGTGATTACTCTCATATTGTGAATCCTGTCGGTCTTTAAAGTCAACACCCTCCTCTCTCACTCCATAGGACTTGACCCTCAGCAGGGAAAAACCTGTTTCAGATGATGTCCAAACACCAGAAAACTAAGAAGCAGACTGAGAGCAGTTTTTTATTCTGCTGTGAGATCTCATCACTTACTGTGTGAGCACACAACACACACTCAGTTTTTTCAAACCTTGTTGTACATTATATTTGAAAACAACGTAATTACGAAGCAAACCAAGCTAAGTTATGATCTGAGAAAAGTCCTGTTTAAGGTAATACACATTGATTCAATATGCACAGTCTTATTTTATTATAATTAATTAAGTAATCATTTAGCTATTTATGTGTGTGTGTGTGTCCCTACCAGAGCTTAAACCTTCACACTGAGATAAACCAATCCGACAATGAAAATGAGTTACGTCTCAAAGTGCAATAGAAAACTGCTTTTCCAAAAATATAAAAGACAAATTTTGAACAAAAGACAAACTATTGTGAAAAAGATGCATCATTTTGTGTCTCACGGTCCAGGGCCATTTGGAAAGTGGTTTGTGCTGCAGATTTTACATAATGATTTCAAATCACAGACGTGCAGAGCTTTTGCCCGCTTTTAAACCTGTAAGAAACTTGCGTCACATGATCCCTTTTTCTCAGTTGAAACACTGTATAGGTGGGTGTTTTTCAGCTGACAGGTGTGCACATGCTTGGACAGTAAAAGACAAACAGAGAAGATTACTGAAGAGGTGGTTTAATAATTTATCCCTGTGGCTCGACCAGTCCATCGCCTGCAGGGGAACCACCAGCTCGTCGACTCAACTGAAGCCCCTCCCGCCCGCCGATGGTGGAGATACCGTCCCTCAGGGGGCCACCTCCAATTAAAACCCTCAAGCAGCCATATTAAACAACAAAACACTGTGGTCGGCGCTCACAGATGGTCGCAAAATGTCTCTGTTGCCAAATTTGGCAGCCGCAAGGCTTTCAGCTCGACTCCAACGAAGACAGAAAATATCAACCCGTCCATCAGGGAGGAGTCAATGCAGAAGCTGAAAACCTCCACACAACCTTTATTAGAGGAGTTAATATTCAACGAGGGAGGCAGAGATACAATAAGACACACAAAGGAAGAATAAAAGATCCTCAAACGCCTCATTCAGCCATGTTCAGACCTCAGCGGTGATGGCTTCTTCACAATACAAGCAGTTACTGTTTGTGGAAGGCAGATAAAGATTCAGCAGTAATTGATTTGTGTTTGACTTTCACTCAGAGAAAACATGAAGCAGGAAATTAAATCTTTAAATAGCCCAAAGAAGAAGAAAAAAACCCTCAACGCTCACCGTCTCCGTCTCCTGAGCCGGAACCAGGATCTGTGAAAACACAAGAGACACAACTACTGTCAGATTTCTCTTCAGGAACTATCATTAAATGCTCAGATAGTAATTACAGGCGTTCTGCTTTGCCCTGTGGAATCTTGTAATGTTGGCCTAAAGAAGTTTTATGTATTTTTGTAGGAGGACTGTTGATGATGTCATCTGCAGCATCTTTAGCTTTGTTTTCTTGGATTGTTTTCGCTCCTCAGTTTGAACCAAAGGAAAAAAGGGAGTTTACCTGCACTATGAATGTTAAGCTCTCAGCATCACAACACAACCTCCTCTGCGGGTGTGTGCACCTCATCCGAAACTATTGTCTACACGCTCGCAAGAGTCTGTGCAGGTGTTTTCCACGCTCTCCGACACTAAAGAGGCCACTGTAGGCTTATCTACTGCAAGAACACCGGCGGGCTGCTGGAGAACAAAAAGCGTGAAAAGCCGAGTGTCGCCTCTGACAGCACTTGTCTGTTGTTTTATAAATGCGTTGGTCACCTGGTAAATTTTATGGAAGGAGGCTAAAAAAGGACCGGATTAGGTCAACCCGTTCTCTGACTCGTCACATATGGACGCATGGTCAAGAGCCATCGTTGTCAGTTTGTAACGCACTGGGGATCCTTTTAGCATCAACGTTGTGGGGGAAGCCCTGTAGTGCCAGTTTTTGACGGTGAAGGTATGATATTTAACGGAAAAGACTTAGTAAGAAGGTAATTGGGGTGGACGGAGGGCCAGAACCACGACTTTGAATCAGGAGAACGGGGTTCGTGTCCTGTGTGAAGCAAAAAGTCAACATTAAATATTTAAAATTTTAATCTAAGTTAGGCAGGTTATGTTAATTCTTGGTTTAAAATAACTTACATGTTTACTGATGTACGTAGTTATTTTAACCCAAACCATGATCTTTTCCTAACCTTAACCAACTAGTTTTGTTCTGTTGACTTTAATAATGCGCCCTTTCAAAATGGCGATTTTTGTTTTTATTTTGAAAATCTAACCAGATCTTGCATATTTATTGTTGCTAACTTCACTGGAAGTTGCATTTTTGTTGTTGCTAAGCGTTGCTAACTTGATCGCAGAGCCCTAAATGTGAATAAATGACGCAAAAGGGCTACCCAGGGCGTTAAAAAGTGACAACAAAGGGCCCTGACCAAGCGTCAATATGTGACAAGTTGGGAGTGAGAATGTGTTGATGAGATCGGAGGTACTACAGACCAGTGGGCCAGTCATCAACAAGTAACCGGTGAGTGCCAGTGCGCCGCGTGGTTTACACTTGCTTGCAAATGTTTGTGGAGCTGCCCATGAGAAAGCGTGCAACGGGTCTTGCAGCCAATAATCAGTCGATCTTGAGTTTGTGTGCGCAGTACAGAGCTGGAGTCAGGATGTGGTTAGCATAGCTTAGCATAAAACAGAGGAGAGCACCTTTAAAGCTCACTGATTCACATTTTCGTGTATGTATGTTGTTCAACTATTCCTTTAAAGTTAACATCTTCCCGAACAGTGCAGATATCACCAGTCTCAGTAATCACACATCGATCGATCATGTGACACACATGTATGATAATGTCACGATTGACAAAGAAACACTGTCGTGTGTTGCAGCAGCCTTAAATAAACATCCTGGAAGCTCGTCAGTGTCTCAGCTCTGCAGCTCCAACGGGAAATGCACTCTGACAGTATAAATCTTGGCGAGGCAACCTTGAATTAAGAAATGGACGCTGTGTTTGGAGTTTCTGGCACGACGATGCTGCATTAGGAAATGGACACTGGCTGCTTTGTTCAATTAAATCACCTTAAGCTGCTGCACTTCTTTACAAAGTCATGATGAGATTGTTTTTCATGGCAAAGGAGGCAGAAATGGTCAGAGAGTGAGCGGAGATATTAATGGTTCTGTCAGCGTGTTATTGACTAAACGTTAAGCGCTCGGTTTCAAACTGCAGGAGGAACCTCTTAAATTGAAAAAGAAAAACCTCTCCCTGGGTGTGGCTTATGTTCATTCACTAATGAGAAAATTGTTTTAAGGTTAATGTTTAATTGAAAAGATTCAAAATCTCCTGAAACGAGCAGGTGGAGGATCAGGGACTGCCCATTGGACCAAAAGCCCATTTGTCTGACAGCCTGTTATCCCGAAAACAAACGGCCATTGCTCCGAAAACACTCACATGGGAGAAGTTTTTCCTCAGGCCTTTCTGCTAGTTAACACGGTGTGAAACGTTCGCAGTTTGGTGAGGTTTTGGAAAAGATCATGGTTTGGGTTAAAATAATAAGTCAACGCTGACTTTCGGTACGTAAGCAGTGGTCTGCGGTCCTGTGTCAGCACAATGAACTGTCACTGAACCAACAACTGCAGGGACCGTGTGTATTTTCGGAGCTATGGCCATTTGATTTCAGGATGAAAGGCTGTCGGACAAATAGGCTTTGGCTCCAATGGGACACTTCTTTGGGCTATTGGGATTTCGAAGTAATGGGCCATAGGAACAATGGCATGGCACCGAAAGATCCCGTTGAGGAAAATGAACACAATCAGCCTCATCCAGTTTCTTACTCTCAGTCTGTATTTATGTTTTGTCTGTGTTCTCAGTGGTTCTGGGTGGACAGGGATGGATTGTGTACTCTCACCAACTATTCACAATTAAACAATACAAGATTCTGAATCTTGATGATTGTTGTTGTAGATCACCACCAGTGACAAATCTGTCGCTTCTTGTGATAAGATAATACGATATTATGAAGATATATTGATCCCCTCGAGGGAAATCTAGTAAAACAGCAGCATAGAAACAGACCTGAGACGTAGCAACAGGATACAGAGAGGTAGAAAAACACATTTAAATAAATAACAAATAAACCAAAGTAGATAAGAGAGAAATTAGGGAATTGGTCGGTAGGTAGAGAGGAAGTAAGGAAGATATACTGTAGGTAGGAAGGCAGGGAGGTCGGCAAAGTAGGAAACAAGGCTGGTAGGAAGGAATGATGGTAGGAACAAGAAAGAAAGGTAGATGGGTTGGTAGGAAAAGTAGAGAGGACGGTACGAAGGTAGGAAGGAAAAGGAAGGGAGAAAGGTGGCTGTAGGAAGGGATTAAGGACTGTAATATGTAGAAAGGAAGTAAATAAGGAAGAAAGGTAAGTGGGTAAGTGTAGAGCAAGTAAAAGAAGTAGTAAGGTAGAAGGATGGAAAGAAAGGTGGGCATGTAGAAGGGAAAGACATAAGGAAGAAAGGTGGTATGATGTGAGCAGGGCAGGTATGAAGATAAGAAGCAAGGTCAGAAGGTAGGTATTAAATGAAGGAACGTAGGTGAAGATAGGAAGGTAAGGAAATTTAAAAAGTAAGTAGGGAAGAAGCAAGGACAGAGAAGGTAGAATATATTGAAACTAAATTTTCAGGTGCTTTAAATTGAATCTTTCGTCCAGCTGATGAAAACCAACTGTAACTGAGCTGAGCGGTAGATCTGAAGAGACAACCTCTGTCTGATCAGTAAACTTCAAAAAGAGTTCATAGATTAAAAAACTGCTCAAACATGGAGAACAGAAATCTCTCTGACTAAAACAGAAGAGAACCTGCAAAAACAGCTGCAGCACCGTCTTTGTCATATTTTCATCACCGCTACACAGGTACAAGTATTATTCCAAATATCTTCACGGGAGAATTTTTAACCAGAAAACTGCAGAAAGCTTTTGTGACAAACTGCTCATTAACCACGAGACCACGTTCACTCTGCTGCAGCTCAACAAATCATCTAATCCTCCTGTGGATAAAAACTCGCTGCAGCAGCACAGCGTCAATAAAACCTGCGGAGGAAATTAAACATGGCTGCCTCTGCGTTTAATGAAGCGGGCCGAAGCTTTGCCTGCAGCTACCTGCTTCCTCTGCTGCGGTCCGCGTGTGAAAATCTGCTGTTTTTAAACTCAAACGCTTTTCTGATATCTGAAAGATAATAAAAAGTAAAATGAGCCCTGACCAGATAATGCAAAAGTCTACCTGTCCTTTGTTTCCAGCTCTTTGTGCCTATTTTTAACCTTGTCAGTCTTGACAGTGATGAACAGAGAGGCAGCCGTGACAATTTAATTTATTACAAGAAAATACGTCTTCAAATCATTTCCCAAAAGGAAACACAAAGGTCACTTGTAACCCAATTCCACGTCCAATTTTCTGGTCGGAAACAGAAAGCCTCTCAAGAATATTTTTCAGAAAAATACAAACTTAAGAGAGAAACAAGGACACAGCATCCACAGTGCTGCCATTTGTTGACAATAGCGAGATGAAATTGTCAATCCAAATTTAAGAACCGCTTTCATTTGAAGGGTCATTTCCCACAAATTACAAAAAGTTAACTTTGTTCCACTTCAGAAGTCTTGACCTTTGGGATAACTTCAAATGCTGAAACAAAAATACCTGCATGGCTAAATACAATTAGAGGAGAAATACGTGAATGATTTAACAAAACAATCCCAAATCAAGGTTTTCTAGCTTTTTGAGGAGCATCCAATGTATGAAGCCAAAGTGTTGCACAAAATAAAGATTTGACCTGATGATGCCTCTAGATGAAAAGTCTGAGAATCACCACAGTTATTACAATTCGTGGCACTAGAGGAGTCAGAAGAGCAACAAAGTCAACTGGATTCATCTTCTGGGGATCATGAATGTCTGAACCACATTTCACAGCAAAGGGCTGGTGAGATATTTTGGTCTGGAACAAAGCGGTGGACAGACGAGCTGCCGAGCTGCTAGCGTGGCTAAAAAACAGCAGAGATTGTTCACTGGATGAACCAAGATTTCCATTTGTGGAAAGGAGGCCATTCAGAGGGAGCAGGAGTCCGCCTTGGACTACGTTCAGTGAAAAGTTTTTGAATATACAATATCTGCACATGAAAATGACGGTGTGGTTAACGTTAAGTAAAATATTGTTTATGGAAAATAAACTATGGTTATGGTTTGGCTACTGAAAAACGATACGATATTTTAGAACCAGTTACCTGAATACATGGCAGAGTAATCAGGAGGG